TGCACCAGCGGGAGGCATTTCTTAAAGTTCACCTAGCCTTCAGCAGCAGATAAGGGGAGGGCCATGCTATCCCATTTAGTCTGAAACTTCCCCCACCCTAACTGGAATGCAGCTTGCTAGAAAGTTGTGCCCCATCTCCTGCCATTACCATGCGTGCCATTGCTGCTGTCCTGGATTTAAAATGACAGGCACCCCAAGTCTCCCTTAAAAGTAAATGTAAAGATTTCCCTTGCTTGAAAGCCAGTCAAATCCAACTTTAGGGGGCGGTGCTTGCCATGCTCGGGGTTGCCCCCAGGCCCTTGGAATCCAGTCGCTGTGTTGGGGGAAGGCTTAAGAAGGAAACAAATGCCTCAGGTGTGGAAGGGCTGGGTGTTGCGTCACGCCCCAGGCATCTTCCTCAGAACGATTGCCTCTCCTGCTTCTCTCTGTTCCGGCTGGGCGATCGTCTCTGAAATCCTCCCCGGCATTCTTCCACTTCCTTCCTTTTATCTGCAGTCCCTTCCCTTGGTGACACACCCCTTTCTGTTATTCCTAAGCCTATTGCTGCTTCCCCCTGTCCATCATTCCCTTGGTGCTTCCCCTTTTGGTCCCGCCTCCCTGTATATCCCCATGTCTCAAGCCTTGAGCGGGGATGTGCAGGGGAGTGCCTACTTCCAGCCAGGACGAAGGGACCGACATCCGCTACTTCGGTGATTTTCAATTCTGAGGGGTAAGGCTGGGACCCTCCAACTGGCTCTTCCTCTCCGTCCGGCCCCCCCCCCCCCCCGAGTCAGTGGCCAAGGAACGGTGTCCATGCCAGCCCCGTCCTCCAGCCCCTTCTCTTCCTGGTTTCCCCTGCATGTCTGTGGTCTCGGAGGGAGGGGGTTGGAGTCTCGTGAGTCTCCTGGACCTCCCATGCCCCAGGGTCCGTCGCCTCCATCGTCCGCTGAACGTGCCACTTCGGGAGCTCTGTCGCCTGGGGTACGTGGGGAGCCCGGTGCGGGTGGCACCAGTCCCATCGCAGCGGCCCATGTTTCCAAGCTGAAGAGCCAGTGCTGTCCAAAGCTGTTTCCATGGTCATGTGGCCAGCATGACTAGACTCCGAGGTGCAAGGAACACAGTTACGTTCCCACCGAAGCAGTACCTATTTATCTACTTGCAATTTCTTGCTTTCGAACTGCTAGGTTGGCAGGAGCTGGGGCCAGAGACGGGAGCTCACTCCATCATGCAGCACTTGGGTCTCTTAAATAAGCAAGTGAATAATAAATAAATTGAAAGAGCTAGGAACACCCTGCCAGAGGCCTCTGGGCAGCCGGATACTGTTCATACCCTAAGGTATGTCCCAATTTATGAAGGAGGCTCATTTTTGATTTCTTGAACTTCCCTCTCATTTTATGAGCGGGGGAATCTGAAAAATCTGATAGCTCTCTTCTTTATTGGTATATTTGTCATGCAAAGCAGACCCTGTTTCACATCATCCTTAATGGCTCACCTAAGGGATTCACAGTTCTGCAAAGCCATCAGTATTTGCATTTAATCTCATAGATATTTTTTTTTGCCACCCAATGCAGGCAAAGAGAAAAGGTAGAGTCTCCTTTTTGGAGACCCCCCCACCTTTTTGTTTGCATAGCCCCACCCCCTCATCTGCATGGATGTCATAGGTAAATGTAAGGATGGTGTCCTGATATGCAGCAGTTCCATAGCAATATCAACTGTTCTGTGATATATCCGCTGTATGCTTGGGCTGATTTGCCATATATGTGTTGGAGGGAGCGACTCAGCATGCCTGGACATTGGGGGTGGGTGCTACATCACTCTAAGTGTGTATAGGTGGTATCTCCTTGAATGAGATGCTTCTCTCTGTCTTAACCTGGGAGCTGTCCTCTAACCCCTCCTCTCTCACTTGTTGCACATGGCCTTCCATGGAGACGCATCTCTCTGCAGGTCTCTCCCGGTAGGTACAGTGCCCTCATACCCCCACACACATGATGCTGGACAAGCTGGCCATTTGTGAAAGGGAAAGTACTTTTTAGAGTAGGCTTCTCACTCTTCTTTCGACTGCAACCTGAATGTGAACTGGATCTACTTGAATAAATGCAAGTTCATCTTTTTTGCCATATACTTTTTGGGAGATTTATTAACTTCACTTAGTATCGCGCTTCTATGACAGGGGCAAATCTCTGCTATATTAACCAAATATCCCAATAATATGGACCTCTGGGAAGAAAACAATTATAGTAATGAACTAAGAGAATAGTGAACTGAGCTGATGCTGTTGCTATTACCTACTAGAAGAGCTAAGGAAGGTGAAAGTTGCTGCGACCCTCAGGAGAGCCCAAGAGGATTATCATCTGCTACACAGGACTTTAAATGAGTAGATCTGTCCTTCTGTTCTTTTATTGTTCTGGATTTTTGTCTCTGTGGTGAATTTCACTCTGTCTTCCTTAATTCCAGTTAAACTAGGAAAATTGATTTGTGAATTGACTCATGTGCTGTTTTCATTTTCTTTAGAACTTTTGCATCTTAATTTAAACCTCTGTGTCAAGCTTCAGTTTCGTTTCACCTTGTTCCACTTCACTGCTTGCCATAATTTAGGGGGGAGGGAATTCCTGAGGGGAGTGCATGTGTGTCTGGAGTGGATGCTTGTAGAAGCCATAACTTTCTTTAAGATTGTGCCCCATCACTGGTTCCCAAGGGAGCTGGCCTTGGAGACTCTTTTGCCAGGCCTGGATATAGATAAGGTGCAGTATATCTGTCATGGCTTCCATAGCTACAGTAGGGGCTGAATGATGACATATGTGAGAGGTGTGGGGTGCATTTTGTATTATCTATAATAGGTTTTTTTGGGTGCCTTTTTCTCTGTTCTGACATGGAGCCTGTTTTCCTAAAGTAAGCACATCTCAATAAAGTACCACTGCTTAAGTGTGTTGTGGGGAGTGTCTTAACTGGGGAGGCCTGACACTCTGCATCATTGACGCATATATGCATAATCATAAAACACTGCAAAAAAGCCAACCATACTGCAATCTTTATTATCAGTGTGTTGTGGTGGTGGAAAGTGCCGTCAAGTCACAGCTGGCTTATGGCAACCCCTCATGGGGTTTTCCAGGCAGGAGATATTCAGAGGAGACTTGCCATTGGCTGTCTCTGCATTACACCCCTGGTATTCCTTGGAGTTTTCCATCCAAATACTGGCCAAGGCTGACCCTGCTTAGCTTCTGAGATCTGTTGAGATTGGGCCAGCCAAGGCTATCAGTGTGTTACATGCTCAAAAAATCCCATGCACTCGTGAAACGTGCAAGCAAAAATAATTTTGATACAACTGCATATGCAATCGCATCAGTAATAGAGATTTTGGCAGTATTTCATCAGTATGTTTTTGCACATCAGTAGCACAGTTTGAATTTGGAAGTCACAAGGAAATTCAATACTGTTTGTAATGAACTAAATGAGCCTGATTTATTCTTCGGCTTACATGCCCTTACCTTCTTCCTTCTTCCTTCACATGCAGAGCTGATTTCCTAAAGCAGGAAATGTAACCCCAATTGTGACATCTGAACTGGGGCACTTCAGTGAACTGAACTTAGCTTCTTACATGCAAACTGGGATTTCAAACCATGGTTCCCATATTAGACCTCTACATTTTTTTTTCCTGCAGGGCAATTAATAGTTCTGAAGGGCAACTGGGGTTAGGAAAACAACACACGAGAAAATTAATTAGACCCGATAGGCTGGTTTTAGTTTAATTTCTTTATCAACTGCCTTTCTACCCCAAGGGGCTCAAGGCAGTGTACCAAATTAAAACCGAGTCATATTACATGCATAAAATCCCCACAGACTGATAAAAACCACCAAACAATACAACATAGGATGAACCCATAAGGTAACCAGCAAGCAGCAGATGTTGCCCTTATTAATCCAATTCAAAGGCCTTCGGGCAAAGTTTTTAAAACCACGAAAGCTTGAAGGGATGGTGTCCCTCTTGGCTCCTTGGGGAGGTAGTTCTATAGCTTGGGGCAGGGGAAGCAGCTGAAAAAGCCCTCTCATGGCTAAGCCAACCTGACCTCAGTTAAAGCTGGTTCCCCAGAAAAGCACAAGGCTGGCAGATACCCAGGCCAGGGCAGGGGTCTCCAGTGTGGTTCCCACGGGTGTCATGGTGCCCACCAACACCTTCCCTGTTGTTTGCCAAGTATTCTAGACAGGGGAGCCATGTGGGGTTCCTGCT